TTAGAGACTGAGTTGGTTTAGCCCTCTACACCACAGAAATAGCCTTTACTAAGCAAATTAATGACACAAACATGACAGTAACACCAGAATTTAAACTAGTCGGGAAAACAATTATTTAAAATTTCTCTGGGCACTTCAGAGCATTTTAAGGCATTCATTTTCATGTAATCAGTTGATGTACACAAGGGTATAGAGATTGACTTTTCAATTAATTATATTTCTGCATATGGCCTGTATGTGGGGTGCAGAATTTCCTGAAGTCAATGAAAGGGAAGCTAGAGAAACACAGGAATCAAATGACAAGCCACTGACAAAGGAAGGTCTGGCCGAATTAAACCAGTTAATCCTGAAACAATGGGAAATTGACAAGGATGATGCTAGGACAGGTACTTCAATGAGGATGAATTAAATAGCAACGAATTAAGAGAAGCTCTTGGGAGTAAGCTTTCTTTATAATCTTGCTGTTCTAGAAAATCAAACACAATGGCTATCACAACTGTTTTGTCAGAAAAATTACAAGTGAAGCACTTGTTTCATTCTGAAAAGAATTATTATAAGAATTCACATATGATTAGAAACTATGTTTGATAAAATATAAGACAAATTTCTTTTCATAATTTTCACTTTTGTTTTTCACAATGACATCCCAGTAAAACCTCTTTGCATGGGAAATTTTGGACTCCACTTTAAGAAACTAATTTGAAGAGTTTGTTTCAGGTACTGATAGTAAAGAGGAGCCACTGTCAACATCTCAGCTTCCTTTCTCTGTCTCTCCCGTGAACACGTGACTTTGACCTCACATCTGAGGTCTTAAGACCCAGAGGATATGATTCTGATCTCCTCCTTGCTTCTCTCTGGCCCACCCCACAAATATCCAAATATGCGTTAACCTTCTTTTTAGAGTAGTTCAGTTCAGCAGCAGCTCTCCATTTTTTTTCCATCCAAATACACTTGGGACTAAGTCCATATTCAAGATATTCTCCAAGATCAACCCAAGTTGATGTGCAATTCCCATCACTCTCTGTGGCTCCTCCCCTTTCCCTCTGACTCAAGAGAGCAAATCAGAATGCAAAAAAAAAGTGTACCTATTATAGAGTCCTAAGCCTCTATGATGTTTCTTTAATTTCGTAATTTCACAATTATCTGTAATAAAATTTTCCGTAACTATGGTTGAAAGCCCATCACTACCCTACAGGTCCTTAGGAGGTAGCTGTAACCTAGCCCCAATCACTTTACACTCTTGAAAGTTACAAATCACAACCCTTTGTTTAAACTACACTTGTTCCACTTTGAGTGGGGGACATTTGACACATGTGCAAAAGACACAGGCACGAGTGTCTGTGGACCTGGGTGCCCCACGCATTGAAAATAACTCCAAGTGAGAGTTCAGAAATATAAGATGGAAGGTCTGGGAAGAGAAAAAAAAAAAAAAAAACATGGAAGGTCTGGGAAACCCTCTTGAAAGGAAGGCTCATTTTGCATATTCTCAACATCTAAGGTATAAAGAGACAAATGCACCAGTTCCTTGCCTCCAGAAAAGACAGGAATCCAGACCAGGCAACCTCTGTTCTGGCATGGGACAAGTCATATTAGCCGTGACCGTGCAAAAAGAAATAAGTGTAGTACTGATTTCTCACTGAGCTGACAAGAGGCAAGAAGGGACACTCATGTGTCCAGAAATGTGTACTTTCACATTATTATTGCTTTCTCCTGCAAATTGCTTGAGAGCTAGGAGGTGTCCCCGCATCTCTTTCCCTCCCAGAGTTCCCAATTTGTTTTCATTATTCACCAGCCCAGCCCCTCAGCTATTGTGAGGCACAATAGCAAAAGATGCAGAAAGGAAAATTAATATGTTCTACATAGACTTCCTCATCTTGGGTAGATTTATGAATTTCCCTTCTGTTATGCAGAAGTTAGCATTTTTCACAATGAGGGGGAAAATTCCGTAATTGTTTTTTTTATTGCCTCCAGAGCTCCAAAGACATCTTGGGCTGTGTTGTCATTTACATTTCACATTAAATGCAAAATATGTTTGAAATGAGCAAATATTTGTTTTAATTTGATACATCTGTTAACTCAAGTGCTAAAAAGACAGCTAAATCACTATGTTAAATTCAGCGATTTGTAAACAATTTATATATTCATTTATTCTGGGTTAAAAATGCCCCAAAGCATAAGTTTTATGAAACACAAAATAATTGCATGGTATCAATCTGATGGATGCAGGGCATGATTTCTTCCTCTTCACTCCATTAGTTTATTTCCTAACTTGAGTTAATTAGTGAGGCTCCTATTTTTAAAAGCTCTTTGAAATTCACTGGGAGTGGGAACAGTTGCAAGAACTGCTTTGGAAACCTACTGCAGAGGAAATGGGCTAAATAATGCTGAATTCCCCCAAGACATTATCACACATTGAGCACCTGATTGCCATTCAACAATCTGCTGGGAACACAGTGGGTGATTAATACACAGTTGTTACAAGGAAGCCTGAGAGAACTAGAAGGAAAGAATGAGGGCTGCTGAGAGAACAGACTCATTCCAGGTGATTACTAATTGGATGAGATGATCTCCAAGTTCCTATTTGTCTCTACACAAAAGTCTGTGACATTCTGATTTTATGTCTGAATGGAGACACAACTCCAATATGGAGACGGACTTCAACTTGGAACAATACCCGCTAGGAGAAGAGACATCTATTCAGAGAAATTTAAATTTTTTAAATAAAAAGAGATTGGTACAATAGAGAACAAAGATGAATCAATTATTTTTTTCCTTGGTCAAATGCAGTCTTAATTCCTAAATTAGGGTGGGAGATTAAAAAAGTAAAGTCATTCATACTAAAGTATTAAATTACTGCTAAAAGTTTAAAATATGCCTAAGGGTATATGGCAGAAAGAAGAACTAGTCTTTCAATAGATGTTCAAGCAAATCCAATGTCCGTTTCTTCCTGGAATATTCTGGGTAGAAACCAATGGGTGAGAGAGATTGAGTTGGGTTGGGTGCCCTTCCTAAGTCCCTAGACAATGTCACCTGCTACAGACGCCTTACTCCAATTTCCAGAAAGGCTGCAACACCTTATCAAAGTTCTGCTTTATTTCATTTTCCTTTCCCCATGAGCCTGTGAAAAAGCCACAGGCAGCCACTCATTTCCCTGCCCTTGTAATGGCAAAGAACAAATCTGACTCCATCTTGGATCTGTTTCTTTTACTTTAACCTTTGTATTCTATTGGTTTTTGCCACAAGAATGTTGCGTACAGCCTGAAATATACAGGCTGGCCCACTCTCAAGGCTCTGACCTTTCAAGATATAACATGTTTCCGTTCATATAGAGATAAAAAGTTGCAGAACAGAGAATAACATGTCTTGTTGGAGGTTTATAGGAACCTCCTGACCTGACCTACATGTACAGCTGCAAGAACAAAGGATTCCGGCACCAAGAAGTTTGCAACAAGCAGCCACACCCCCTCCCCCTTAAATATAAAAGAAGTTTGAACTCTAACTCGGGTAAGATGGTTCTTTGGGACACTAGCTCACCATCTTCTCGCTCTGCTGGCTTTCTGAATAAAGTCATTATTCCTGGCCCCAACATGTCATCTCTCAATTTACTGTCCTGCTGTGCGGCCAGCAGTGTGAACCTGGACTCGGTAACACGCTGAGAACCAAGCTTAGAATCTGGGAGCTGCACTTGAGTGCATTTGAACTAGGTCTTCTCTAAGCCTGAAACTGCTCCTCTATGAAATGGAAATATAAGCCAAGAGCACAGCACCTGATGCAGAGTCGGCATCCCCAAACCACAAACTCCCTCCTGTCATTTCGCACAGACCCAGAGTAAAGTCAGGTCAGTTGTACGGACACACCAGAAGCCAGGGGCATGGCTGGGACAATACCCAGTTCTTTCCATTTCTCTTCAAGTGCCTTCCAATTTTCTTTCCTAACTCCTTGCCCTAGAACCTGTTTCTCAGGTCTCCCACACCAAAACAAACAGCACCATGATTTATTCCTTCTCTGATGCCACACTGGAAAGGGAGCTGGGGAAAAGGGGAAACATTGTCCTAACAGCTCCCCCTTGACTCACACGCACCCACAAGGATATCTTTTTCTTTTTTCCGCTAAAAGACATTTTTAAAAACTCTTTGCCCCAGTCCACTTTGTGTGTCTCCATGAAAGCCCACCAGGCCCCTCTTCTGAGGCCTTGGGGGGCTCCTAATCATGGGCCCCTTCCTTCCTGGCACACAGGAGGATCTGACTTTAAATATTTGCATAACAAGAAAAGTTTGGAAAATGAAGCGAGTTCTCTGAAAGGGAATTGGTATTTGGGATGATCAATCAAGTCTCGGGAAATCTGTGAAGCCAGATTTTCTGAATCAGACAAACAAGCCAGCCGGTCCAGCCATGTTTCTGTGTTAAGAAACAGATCCACCAGGGCAAACACGCCAGCACTACCTTGGGGAGTGTGTGTCTGAGGGCTCCAGTTTCTTAAGACTTGGGTAGGAAATCACTTTGGGGGAACAGAGTCCCAGCCTGTGTGTGTTCCCGACAGCCTCGTTTCTACAAAGGAGGAGAAAAATGGGAACACAATCTAATTGCCTGAGAAAGGTTCTCCAGGATAAAGATGGGCTAGATAAGGATGCTGCCTTCCATCTTCACAGAACTGGGTCCTTCTCAAAGGACTTTCACCTGTCTCATATTACCTAACCGGACCCTCAGATTTCTCAGCGTTATCTTCCATTTTACCCAAGCTATTTTGTGACTTGGCCAGCCATCGCGCAGCTGCCACTGCGGAACATACCCAGCCCTTCTGACTGCTGGGCCATAACCCAAGTCCCCAAAGCAGACAGAAGAAACATGCAGAGGCTCAGAACCATGCCTCTTCAGCCTCAACGAACTGAGGTTCACGCTCTTAAGGCAAGGCTTGAGTTTAGAGGACCGCGGGCGGTGACGGGGGGTACGGGGTGGGGGGGTGAGGGCGGCTCCCAGGAGGCCCTCCACCCAGGACTCACTCAGGAAGATGATGGTCTGCCTCCGGGCGCTCCTGTTCTCCTCGCTCTCCGACTTCCTCACCTGCAGCTGCTGCCCCTGGGCGGCCAGCGTGCCCTGCTTACTCCTCGTGAGCACCTGCATCATGCTCCAGCACATGAAGGCCACGGAGGCCAGGACCACGAGGTAGATGACGAAGGCACCGAAGATGCTGGCCTGGAACACGGTCCAGCGGCTGGAGAGGTTGGTACAGATGGACATGTTGGAAATCTCCGGTTGCTCGTGGTGGCGGGTACGGGAGCGGTTGCACGTGAGACCGCGGTGACTGGGCACGTTCGCCAAGGGGTACTCGACTCCCATGGCAAAAAGCAAAGGCAACGCCACCAGGGCGGAGGTGACCCAGACGAAGCCGATGAGCAGCTTCACCTGGCAGGGCCCCGACATGGCCTTATACCGGAAGGGGTGGCAGATGGCGATGTAGCGCTCGAAGCTGAGCGTCAGGACGTGCAGCAGCGTCGCGTAGCTGCAGGCCTCGAAGAGGAACGTGTGAAGCTTGCAGGGCACGGTGTAGCTGGGCGTGGTCAGGGGATTCCAGATGATGCTGTAGAACTCCACGGGCATGCCGATGAGGAAGACCAGGATGTCGGAGCAAGCCAGGCTCACCATGTGATCCGTCACCTCCTTCTGCAGGTAGCCCTTCTTCTGCAGCACCTGGGTGACCCGAATGGTGACGCTATTCCCCAGGACGCCCACCACGAAGATGGCCAGGTACACCAGAATGAGGGTGATTTTGATCCAGGAGGCCACCTCGAACCCGGGAACGTGGCTGTGGTCGATGACCTGGGAGCAGTCACTGCCAGGACGTCTGGGCGAAGCCATGAGGAAGGCAGCCAGCCAGGCCGCGGCGTCCAAAGACCTTCTGAACTCCCTTTCTTCCTACCCGCGCGGCCCGAAGTTCTCGGCCGCAACTCACTAGCGTGGGTGCAGGGCTTTTTCGAGCTCACCTGGGCAAGGTAACAGGCTTTCGGGTGCTTTCACGGAAACTTCCCGGAGCAGCCCAACCTAGCCGAGGCTGGAGGCGTCCGAGGGTGGGGTTTGGGAGGTGGGGGTGTGTATCTGGGCGAGGCGGGGAGAGCGCGGAGGAAGGAGGTTCCAATCTCGCTGCAGCCAGTGAGCCCGCAGCCCCCAGCGCGCAGGCCCTTCCCTTCTCTGTCCCCGGCGCTCCGCTCCCGGCTGCCTGGCCCTGGCGCGCCAAACCCACCCACCTGGAGCACCCTCTCCCGAACGGCTGGAGGCGGGGTGGTCAGCGATTAATCATTAACCGCCGCCGCCTGTGCTCCCGGCCGCAGACCCAGCCCAGCGGGGGCGTGCTCAGCTCACAGACATGGTCCAGACACCAGATCTTGGCCCCGGAGCACGGGGCGACGGGTGGCCCCATCTTCCCCGCCGCCCACGCGGCCACCGCCGAGTCAGCGTCGCCGTCCGGTCCCACGCGCATCCCACCGCGTGGGGCACAGCCGGGGGGCAGCTGCAGTGCGCTCCCGGGCTTAGGCGCGGAAAGACCAAACCGCCCCCTCCTGCCCTTGGGTCCCTTCGAAGGTTTGGGCCACCACGGCCAGTTTGGGGGACGGGGGACGGCTGGACCCGGGCGCCCGCCTCGGTCGCTGGCCAGTTGGCGGGGCCGCCCTGGCGCAGCCGGCAAGCTTTCGCCTCCTTGGTGCCCTGCCGTCGGGCCCTGGGGTGTTGGCACTGGACGGTTAGGCTGTGCGCTGGCTGGAGCCGCTGCTCCAGGAAGTCGCCCCCAAGCAGGCTACTAGGTCCCCAGAGAAGCCCTGCATTTCCCCAAAGCTTCCCGGGCGTTCTGCGCAGGGCCTGCCTCACCTTCTTGCCGAAGGACCCGAGGAGCGCGGCTCCCTCCTTTCAGTTTCACTCCACAGCTCAGGCCCCTCTCCCGGCGGCAGCGGCAGCGGCAGCGGCGGGAAGTCCTTAATTGGGGACATGTATATGGATGAGAGTGGCACCATCCGCCAGGATGCCCCTGGTGGGAAGCGCGTCCTCCCAGGGAGCTGCGACCAGGACATCAAGGGCAGTAGGAGGGAGTAAACATGGCGATAAGGATCATGGCATTTTCGCTCTTCTCAGAAGAGGAAAACCTCTAGTGGGCCCATCTTCATCTTCTTATTCTAAAATCAGAAGGCACTTTGCCGGGGGAGGCAGGGGGCTGTCCTATGCATCGTAGAATATTTAACATCTTCATGTCCCACGCTGAATAGTGACAGCCAAAATGTCTCCAGACGTTGCCAACTGTCCTCTGAGGGGGCAAAACTGCCCCAGGTGGAGAACCACTGCCTTGAAGGAAGAAAATGGAACCTCTTCATCTGTTCATCCTGAGGGCGTAGCACAGGCCTGTCCAGAAAAGCATTCTTAAATGATCACAGCCACTGCCCTGTGATGTGATCGTTTTAAAGATGAAAAAACTGAGGTGTCCAGAGGATAAGTGCTTCCCCAAGGCCATAATAAAGTGAGTGAGGGACTTGAAAACCTAGATCCGTCAAACCCTGAGTATATCCTAACAGGGAGGGAATTCTGGGAACGCAGAAGGTGCTCCAGAGCTGAGTCCAGCACAATACACGTGGAGAAACGGGGACTGTATTTTCTGAACCCAACCCTGGGCATGTGGTTTGAGGCCCTCAGCGAATGTTTGATTTTGACACTGTCTCAGAGGAAAAAAAAAAGGTTGTATGGCCACTGGATCTTTACAGTTAGCACCCTAGGGGGCTATAGCTATTTTTTTCTCTCCCTTCTCTGTTAAATTACAAGCTATAAGGCCGAGAAATCTCTCTTTTCCCTCTCTGACACTACTCCACAGAGCCCTGAATAGTATGTTTGGCCAACCCCCCTTCCCCCCACCGTTTGTGCTATTTGACCTACTTGCTGGCAGAGAAACTCTTAACTCATTGCCTCATTGGTGAACTGTGCTTAGCTACATGACCTCAATTGCCTTATAGCTACCCCACAAAGCTCACAGGGTAAGCATGGACTCTTGGAACTTTCATAACTACAGATTAGAATCCTGAGTGGACTCCTCTGCAAAAGGCCCTGACTGGTTATTTGCTGTCCCAGAGGGACTGAGAAGAAGGGCTAGGAAGACCCCACCACCACCACCAGCATACAAACACATCCCTGGCCCTGCCCACTTCTTTCTTCTAAAGAGGAAACAAGCCAGGAACCTCACACGTCTTCCTCAGCCCTGCCACTGATTCTTCCTTCGAAATGCTCCTCTTGGTCATTCTCTGAGCCCCTATTACGTGCCAGGCACTTTCCCATAATTCATTTCTTTCAGTCCTCACAAGGCTGCAAGGTAGACGTTATTACCCCATTATCCAGATGAAGAAACTGAGGATAAGGAAAACTAAGTGACCTACCATTAAAGTTTGGGGGCAGGCTTCAAACCCAGGTCTGCCTGACTCCAAAGCCCTCTCCACTCTGGAAAGCTATCTCTCTGTGCAGGACAAGACTGTGTCAGGCTGATAGCGGCATTTTGGGGAGACAGACTTTTTTTAAGTCACCAGTTCTGATGCTTCTCGTCTCCTCAGCTGCGGCATGCCAGTCATCCTGCAATGTATTTGATAATTCCAATTTGTTCTGCTCAGACAAGATTTCCATTATTGTCCAATTTCTTTCATCAGGTTTTTTTTCTTTCACAAAGTGTGAACAAGGATTACAAATGCATGGCCAAATGGTGAGAATCAAGCTCATTAAAATTCGCTCCTTACAGTAGAGACGGAAAAAATGCATTTTGAACAAAGGTCCAGGAGAGTTGAATTTCCATTTCGCCTTTGCTTTTCCTAAGGCCAATTAAAAAGTGTTTAACGTGCTCTCACTTGTTGATAAAAGACTGGTATAACACCTCGCCTGGCTCTGTGTCATCTAGATTTTTTATTAGCATATTGTATGCGGGGAGGAGGGGGGGAAGAAAAGTAATGAAAAGTGAGAGGAAGGAATACTTCAGGTACTCTTTGATATCAGCTCTACTCAAGGGTCATTTTAGTGTCTACACAAATTTATATTCACATTTTACACATTCCAGGTGACCTTTGGGGTCTTCTAGGCTAGTGGCTTTCACACTTTTTTTAAGCACTAATTTTTATAATAAAATCTTACATTGGCACCCAAAGTTTAAAAAAAAAACACATATACACACAAACACACACACTTACATATACATACATATTGTATTTTTGTAAATTTAAATTTACTTTCTATGCTCAAATTCACATTTACTCATTTAAAATCAACAATACCCTAAAAAGTGAATAACGCCTTGTTTACAAAGGTTCATGATAAAATCATAGTGACTATACTCTAAGCTGTAAAGAGAACTTCAATAACTTTCAAAACTTATAAACAGTGTAGATAACTTTACTTATAATGCAATATAACTAACAAGTCATAACAGAACCAGAAAAGTGAAACATAAAACTCCACCATCGCAAAAGAAAACCAAAACCAAAACTGCAAAGTATCTAGAGAATAATGACCACAAAAAGACGGCCTATCAGAACCTGTAGGAAATAGCTAAAGGAGTTCTCAGAGAAAAATTCAGAGCCCTAAATATTTATTCTAATAAACAGGAAAGAATAACAATAAGAGAAGTTATAAAAAGAATAAAATTAAGGAAAACAAGAAGGGATTAATAAAGATCAAAGGAATTATGAAAGAACTAAATAGAGCTAATAAATAATCTCAAAACTTTTTTTTAAGTAGGACTAGCTATCAAGAATGACTAGAATCAGACTGGGAGCCTGCAACTCCCAACTCCCACAGCACAGATGTGAGCCCCTCAGAGAAGAGAGACCAGCGAGGTGATCACCCACACTTGCTGCCTGGGGGAACTTTCCAGACAGTGATGCGGGGAGGGACTCCAAGCAGAACATGGCTATCTTGCTGAGTTGAAGAGGCAGATTGGAGCACAGGAAGCAGAGGCTACTAGACTTCACAGAGCAGAACACTGAAAGGACGGTGGGACACAGACAGAGTGGCAGAAATCCATACAGAATTTCTCTTGAGTCTTTGGCAGAATACTGAGTGGGCTTGTGGAGGCGAGACTCCAGGAGCTGGCAAAGTATGACTGCTGAGGGAAGAACAAATGCTGGCATTGTAATCCAGACAGTTCCCAAGGTCCCAAAGAGCTGGGAGATGCTGAAGTTCCAACCAATGAGTGAAGAGACCTCATTGAACCAACCCTGGAAGGGCCAGATCTTAGTAATAGAACTAAACTAGCCACAGAGCCAAGGCTACTCTAGACCTGCCTTAAAAAAGATATTGACCGGAGCTACCTAATAGGGTAGTCACTAGCTCATTACACTGGAAATACGGCTAGTCCAAGCTGGGATGTGTTGTAAGTATAAAATATATACCACATTTCAAAGACTTCTTATGAAAAAAAAGAATGTAAATGTAATTGTTTCTATATGTTGATTTCATGGTGAAATGATAGAATGGCTATAATGGGTTAAATAAAATATATTATTAAAACTAATTTCACTAATCCAAAAAGATACATGCATACCAATGTTCATAGCAGCATTATTTACAATTGACAAGTTATGGAAGCAACCTAAGTGTCCATCAGCAGATGAAGGGATAAAGAAGATGTGGTCCATATATATAATGGAATACTACTCAGCCATAAAAAAGAATGAAATCTTGCCATTTGCAGCAATATGGGTGGACTTGGAGGGCATCATGCTAAGTGAAATAAGTTAGAAAAAGACAAGTACTGTATGATATCTCTTGTATGTGAAATCTAAAATAAACTAGTGAATATAACAAAAAAGAAACAGACTCACAGATATAGAGAACAAACTAGTGGTTACCAGTGGGGAGAAGGAAGTGTATTGTACATGGGCAATATAGGGGTAGGGGAGTAAGAGGTACAAACTATTAGGTATAAAATAAGCTACAAGGATATATTGTACAACATGGAGAATATAGCCAATATTTTATAATAACTATAAGTGGAGTGTAACCTTTTAAAAT